TTTTATGGACATTTCAGTTTGTAGGAGATCTGATGTAGCTGTAGAGCAGTGAAGTGTGCTGTGATTTTCAAACTGTGTCTTTTCGCTCTCTGTCATGTTTTTAACCGATAATGGTGCTAAAATGTGGGAAAACTCTTCAACATCACTTCACACAACTCCAAGTACATCTCTGTGCGTGTTGAAGTGACTGCAGGCGGTTCAGACTGCGCTGACAGTGAAATGTTGCTCAGTCTGACCTCATGCGGCTGAATGGCATCACTCAGCTGGATAAAAGCCTGGCTTGGTCCAACACCGCCACCTACTGGACAACACTGAGAACACAAAGCTGGAGCTGCAGATTCTCACAAACTGCTTAAAATTCACAGAAAGCACAGAGACAAAACACCACACAGGACAGAGGGTTTTTTTTGAGGTAGTAGCTGTATTCAAATGATTGACAACACAATCACCCCTTTTCTCCCCAATACCAATGTTTCAGCTACAGAATGACAATACTTTTCAAGAAATGTCTTACTTTCTATGCAGCACTCAGTCAAATGTTAGAATGAAATGGTTCAACTCACTACCACGGATGACTAATACTGTTGGGATGCAGCATTTGTCTTCATAATCATATCTGCCCTCTTGTTATACTTAAAAAATAAAACTAGTGTTCCAAGGCTAAGCACGAGAAACTAACCAGACAACGAAGCATAAAAACCAGCCATGGCCTGTTTTCAGAGAAAATACTTACAGTTTTGCAGTTGTACGTGTGAACACAGTTTAGAGTTTGGTGGAAAGTTGGGCTGTTGAAGCATCGGGGGCAGTTGTAGTGTTTAATATTCACTCACAAAACAAAATGTAAAAAAAATAAGTCACAATAAGAGCACCAAAGGTAACGAAAACAATGAAAATTAATGTTAACCGTTTTAAAAATTCTAAATTTAAATAGACTTGTAACCGCTCGGCTCCTTCACACACACACTGCATCAGACCAAGGCAAGAATGTAAACCAAGAAAAACAAAAAAAACAAAAGCACCAAATGTTAAGGAAGATGAGAAACAGAAAGTTCTAGTAACTAATGAAGAAATATTCTTCTGGTTTTCCATCCAGGACAACAGGTGACTTTATTTCCTCTTCCTGTCCTGAGAGCAGCGTGGACAGTACCTGCGACAACACAAACAGGTTAGAACACGGCAGAACGCTGGCGATGCAGCCTCAGCGTCAGCTTCAGCTCAGAGTTTCTCACCATTTTCCTCTTGGTTTGGTCGTCAGGCCCACGCAGGCGAAGTGGAACCACTCGATGGAGCACTGCAGAAACACCGACGGGGAAAGCTCTGGTGAGTGGTGTGTAAATGGAGCACTCGATTTTCAAAACACAACAACAGAGAGAACCACCGTTACAGCAGCTCAGTCGCTCTGTGACCTTTTCACTGAGGATTAGGATGAAGCTGCACTTCTTCACTGGTAGAAAATAAATACGAGGACGTACTATAACCGATTCCTGATAAAAAAAAAACAACATTATTTTAACTTGACTCTTTATCATTAATATTCTTAATTACAGGCCTGTATCATGGCATTATACTGTCACAACCTCTGTAAAATGTGAACAAGATTAATTATTATTAAAATAAATATGCACATAAATAAAATTATACCGTGTTTGGTTATCCACTTGGTCGTACATTTTCTGTTTTTTGATGAACTGTAATGTGAAATGTCACCATCCAGCACATACATGCTCTAAACTGCAACCTTTTCTGGATTTATTTTATTTATTTCTGGATTATTTACACTCTGGATTATTTCACGCATGAATCAATTAGATGTTTGGTTTCTGAAATGACTGAAAATGGAGAAAAGTGTGCATCAGTGTTTCTTCAAATGTCTTGTTTTGGCCAAATATGTTCGGTTTACTGTCACAGAGGAGGAGAGAAACTGGGTCGTACACGTTCACAATTCCATCCAGCAAAATACAGTCAAACACTTCACACACAGTCGATAAAATGAACCAGCAGTAAGGAAACAGATGCACTAAAGTTGCAATGATTAATCAGTTATTTGTCAATTATTAAATGAATCTGAATTTTATAAGAAAAACTGTGTAAATTCTGTGATTGCAGCTTCTGCACTGTGAATACTTTCTGGTTTCTTTCCTCCTCTATGACAGTAAAATGAACATATTTGGACAAAACAAGACTCTGATCCATATTTTTTTCTATTTTATGACATTTATGGACCAAACAGCTGATCGATTGAGCCTGAAACTAATCAACAGACTGCTCAACAGTGAAAATATCTTAGGTTTCAGCACTATTTCTCACATTTGTCTGACTCTGTTTTCACTGTAGCTTCACTGAAGCAAAGACACGAATCACCTTCAGCATTAACGTGAGACAAATGTCATGCGTGTGTTAGACCAAACTCACGTCGGTGTTGTCGCAGCCAATCATCTCGCCGTAGGAGACCTGATGGCACAGACAGTAGGTGGGTTCGTTTGGATCCACCGGCATGTCCAGAACATCAGACGGGTGCACGTTCCCAAAGTTAGCGGAAGGACTGTTGAATTCTCCTCTAAAGATGAAATTTAAAAACAAAACAAAGCAAAACATTGTGAATGAGAACAGGAATACAATACACTGGAAATAACACCTGGGAAAACCTGTAAAGCAGATCAACGTACGGTTGCAGGAGTTTGACTTTCTTCTGTGCGCTCTTAGGACTTCCATCTTCATCTGAACTCTTCACTTTGGACCTTGTTTTAGCTGTTTTCTTCTCCTTCTGTCTGGTGTCTGCTGGAGTTACAGAAACACTTCATGATTCCACCAAGTCTGGATTTACTGAAGTCACCATCAACAGGGCAGAAACAGAAGCAGCGTCCACTCACCTTTCTTCCCCTTACTGGAGGTGGAATCGTAGTCTGTGCTTTCGATCTGCTTCTCCTTCAGGTCGGCTTCGAACCGAGCCAAGTCCGTGTCCAGGCGTCTGATGTGTTTGTCCACCTGCACAGATTTTAGTACACAGTTCACAGCGCGTCTATGAACCACTACAACGTTGTGTTTCTGTGTCAGATACCAACCATTTCATAGGTCTGCATGGCCAGCTGCACCTTATCATCCCCAAACTCTTTACATTTACTGTAGGACTGCTGGATCTGCCTCAAGATGGACAGCTTCTGCTCCGAGGACAGAGTCCTGGCGTTGGCTGTGTATTCTTTAGCCAGAGAGTCAATCTGTCCCTTCAGATCTAGAACAGGAACATGAAGAAGAACTTCTAAGCAAGGGGACCCTGGTGACTGGAATAATCTGACCGCAACAGTTAATGGATGCTACTTCCTGCTAAAAACTCCATAAAACCAGATTCCAAAACATTCAAACAGGACATTCCAGGAAATATGAGCCCAGAAGTTGTAAATGTCTGACCAAGTGCAGCTTCACTATGTTCACTTAAAGTCCAAAATGTTGGTTCTTCTATCGTCTTGTGAACCTCAGACTTGTCTTTGGGATCATTTTGAATCCTGCACGAATCGTTGTTTGAAGATAGAGAGCTGCTGCCTCCACAGTTTCATGGCTTCAGTCTCACGACTGTTCTACTCTAAATGAAGTGTTTCCACATCGATTCATAGATCTCACCCTCGGTGCGCTGGTCCAGATCCCTCATCAGATTAAAGTTCCTCTGCAGCTCGAAGGGCAGGTTCTCTATGCCTGGAGAGGAGAACACAATGGTTAGAGTGAGATCTAAAGGAACCAGAACACAGTTTAACAGAACTGAGCTCTCTTAGTGTTCCTGTGTGTGTGTGTGTGTGTGTGTGTGTGTGTGTGTGTGTGTGTGTGTGTGTGTGTGTGTGTGTGTGTGTAGCATTCTGTGTTGAATGTGGGCTGGGAGGGTGGGTGGAGTTCTGTATTTTATTTTGTATCCCCTGATCCTTTCCTGATTGTGTTCTGCAATGAACAGCACTTTGTGACACATTTCATGTATGAAAAGTGCTTTACAAATAAAGTTTGATTAATTGACTGATTGATTGATACAAGAACCAGAACACAGACTAACAGAACTCTCACTGAGATCTACAGGAACCAGAACACAGACTAACAGAACTCTCAATGAGACCTCGGGGGAACAATAACAGCATTGAGACGCAGGGCTGCTAGCTAAACTGAACGTTAACTGTTAGCAACGTTAGCTTCTGAATTAGCACCAAACCATAAGTAGAACTGAGATCCCACATGCTAAGAGAACACAAGGCGTGTCAATAAAACAGTGTGAGAGCTGTGAGGTCTCAGTCTGCATCCTTTCATCGCTGCGATGCGTGGTTCCAGGAAATAGACGGAGCCCAAAACCCGCTGCCGGGGGTTACACGGTTCCAGCAGACCGTTCCGTTAAACGGTAACCGGCGGCTTTTACACAGAACCGAACGCTGGCTATAGCACGACTGAAGAGACTGAAGCGTCTTCCGGCGCCTCTGCAGATGAGATGTTCTCTTACTGTCCAGATAATGCTCCAGGTACATCCCCGCCGCCATCTTGGACAATGTAAACAACTCAGCTTCCGCTCCGAAACGCAGCGATCTGATTGGCTGCTGAGGACGTTCGGCTCAAACTGACTATAACTGAAGTAAATAAATAAAAGACGTCATTAATACCGACAGATTTATCATTTTCACCAGCTATAAGCCATAATCATCAAAGTAAAACAAACAGGCTTGAATTATTATCATTGGTAATATTTTACTTGACATTTGTTGAACATAAAATGTATGAAACTTTACTTTTTGAATTAAAATATGAAAAAAAATCTATACAACTTTTTCTCAATGTTCTCATTTTTTTGAGATGCACCAGTGTTTCAATGAGGGATATCTCAAGTTGTTCCCGTCTAACTGTATCTGTGGACGTCTAAAACGTAATTACAAGCGCTGTAAACAATTCAGTGGTTGGTTCAATAGTTTCGTAAACATGAAATTTAACTGAGATTAAAGCAGATAGTTGGGACTAATTAATGATACTCATTAATAATGAATGTAATCTAAGTATTTCCGCACCGCAAGACATTAACAGGAGCTGACGTTTGTTGTTTCCAGCTGTTTAGAATTATTTCCTCTGAGTTATTAAATAGCTGCGAGGATTTATGTAGCATAGGTAATTAAATTCATATAATTACACCTGAGAGAACATGGACAGATAACCGCTATCTTCACATCAGACAGGTGAATTGTAGTTTAGTTTGTTGCTCTCAGCAGTTCAGGATCATTTCCTTCATTTATCACAAACCTGCAGCATCACGATCCACGAATGTCTCCAAAGTGAGAGAGCTGCTTAGCAACAGCAGCAACTTCATCATAATTATTATAATTATTAGAACTGGTTCCTACATGGAGACATGCTGGATCAGAGTCACAGTTTAACAGCTGCAGGTATGAATCCTGAACTTTGTTTCACTGTTCAAGGAATCAGAGATGAACTGAGCCGTTAGTCATTTGGACACTTTGATCAGCTGCTGTTGCTTTAGATTTAGTTTGTTATTGTGTTGTTACGTACCAAACCTTACTCGGTGTGTTGACTAATCACGTGAATGACAAATATCTCGGCTATGTCGTCACTTTAACGAAGTAATTAAGCAGCAATGTTCCACATCACGCGTCTGAAATCGTCTGAATAAATGAATCACGAAGACAAAAACTTCTCATTGATGAAAAATCTCTTAAAAGATTTATTGTATCTTACAGATTTATGGAAATCGGCCCAAACTGAAATTAACAAACAGACGGACACAATGAATAATTTGAAACACAAATAAAAAAAAAAAAACAAGCTCATCACATGTATCTGTAACTAAGGCTCTAATGTAATCTATTACACCTGACCACGTCGCCGTCACTACCCGTCGTGTTTCTGCAACATGTGCTTCAGCTTCTTGAACTTGTTCTTTCCCATCCTGTTCTTCGCCTTCATGGCTGTTTTATTCTTTCTGGCCTTTTTGTCGGTTCTCGTAGCTTTAGTTTCATTAACCGCCTTCGTCCCTGCAGGTTTCTCGGTTTTCTTCGCCGTCTCTCCGTCCAGCTTGGCGAGCTTCGCCTTCTTTGGTCCGGCCGTTGAGTCCTTTTTGCCTTTTGACTTGACCTTTGCTGTCCCGTTGGTTTTTTGCTGCGAGCTTCCTGCCTCTTTGACCAAAGTCTTCTTGGGTTTGTCGCTTTGAGTCGGCTTCTCCTCGGGAGGATTCGTAGCTGCCGTGGCCTCCGGAGCTTCGGCGCCGTCGTCTTCTACGACCCAGACGGACACACAGAGGGTTAGATCGTTATACACAGGGTAGGACTCACAATCAAAGCTGGAATTTTTTTTTAACTTTTCTAGTTTGATTTATAGCTTTCATTACAGCACAGGAAGCGAAAAAAGAATTAAAGCATTAAAGTAGTATTTTTCTATGGATTTCTGCAGTTTTCCAACTGTTCAA